TGGGCCACGTGGGAATCAGAACACACCCCCTCGGAGGCATTGGTCTATGTCAAGTCAACAAGACCGGAGGGAGACTGGGGATTATGGTCCATACACGACATCGAACAGCCGGGGTCTAACCTCAGAAGGGTCTCGAAATCATTCCGGGCCCAAGTGAAGGCTAGAACCGGTCTCCTCAAAAAAATCAGAGTGATTGAGGATGACGATTACAGAGCCTATCAACCCGGAATACCCTTGCAGGATCTGGAGTTTGACCCAGTGGAATGGGCATGGAAGGCAAGATCCACCCCGTTAGGGTCACAGAAGCGCACCAACATCCTGGATTATTCCACCAGCTTTGGCTACAAACTCATACGCAGATTGGTGAACACGGATATCATCCTAGTCCAACGCTGGGAGAAGCACACCTCGGGCTGCCTGGGCAACACCAAAAAGTTCAATTGGCAGATACCTCTCGCCATTAGAAATACCCGCATAAGAAGTATGCAATGACTCATCTATTATCATGCTCTGCCAGTTAACACATGGCTCAACAGGAGAAGGGCAGAAATCGCTAGAAGGGACTTCGACAACAGTTGCGCGGTCTGCGAGGAGGGAACACTAGAAGTTATGCAGCACTGCCTGCTAAACTGTCCAAATGCACAACGGATCTGGAACAAAACACGGGAGTTTTGGCTGGCAGCTGTTGGAGCTCTATTACCAGACAACCGGCTCACACTCTTAACGGGCATGGAACAACCAAGTCACAATGAGCCCTGGCGACGGACCCTCTTCCGTAAACTTCGCCCTCTTACTCTGTGAATCATATGGAAGACACGATGCAAACAAATGATAGATGGCCAAAAAACATCGACTCAGGAGGCCTGGGAGCATGTTTTACAACTTTTACGGCAGGAATATCAAGCGGATTGGAACCGGGCAGTGAAGAATATCAAAGAAGATCCACCAAGAAAGCACGCAATCATAGATAAATTTATCAAAAACAGGCTTGGAATGGGTAAACTCGGCACGGTGACCGTGGAAGGAGACCCTCCAAGACTGGTTGGGAAGAGAAGAGAAGATTGTTCACAGAGAGACACAGCAACAGATCTCGCTTCGCTGGAATCAGCGAGATCACAGAGCAGTAGGGTAGACACACATGCGGCGTAGTGGCCCTAGAGAGGAATCATAGCTTGTGTCAATAGTCATGCGGTCAAAGATAAAGACGCATTAGGGTTTAGGGGTTAAGGAGAGAGATAAATCAGTAAAACAGTAGTGGTACAAGAGAGCGGGTTGAGGAAAGGGGAGGAGTTGAAAAACTCTGAAGAGTAGGCCTCCTTTCACCTCCTGCAGTTCTTCCGCTTTTCTTGTCCTTATCACTTATCTGGCAGGTCCGTACGGTGGAGCTGAGAGGGAAGGCGGAAGTAAGGCAAGCTGACAGTCAATCCTCCAGGTTGCTGGAGCAATCAATGCTGATCAGGGTTCCTTCGGCCAGACGGAAGGAAGCGTTGAGTGTGTTTAATGATGTAATTCTTTGTCCTGACTTGCCGGTGGAATAGGAACCGGACTGCTGCTCCCCAGAATGGAACGGAGCCTAAGGACCTGCTAAAAAAAAAAAAAAAAAAAAAAAAAA